ACATACACACACATACACACACACACTCTCTCTCACTTTCTCTCTCTCTCTCTATCTCTCTCTCTCTCTCTCTTCAGCATATTTTCATATATTTTTGCTCTTATGCGTAGGAGCAAACTTAGCAAATTATGTGTATATAAGAACTACTCTAGCCATGCGGTATAATATTGCGTCCGCCGGTGTGGCATGGATTGTTGCAAATGTAGAGGCAACTTTAGTATAGTTGCTGAATTGTGCAGTGTCTTTGTCTTCTCATGACTAAACTTCTTCGCAAACACATCAAATTGACTCCGCCACTCCATAGAGAATGAAGAAAATCAAGAAAGTAAGCGTGCGTCTAAATTGTAGTCTTGAAATTTCCGTTGTTAAGTTTCAACAAGACATAAAAAAGGTACAGCTCAAAATTTCAGTCAAAACATTTTACTATACTGATAATAATACAATGATAGAGTATCCAAAATATAACGTGTTAAGGATTTTATAATATTGCTTGATATCGGTTAACGTAGTTAGAATGATATACCGTGATTAGAATAATAAACAAACTGAAATTATCGTGACGTTTTGGATTACTGATTCTGTAATTTTGCTTTCATTTTCATAAGCGAGTAACAATTTTGTAATCAGGAAAGCAAACTAGACTACGTTATAAATATGCGAATATCTATCAACAAATCAGACTGACTTTCATAAACCATATTTTAGTCAGTAATAATTAAATTAAAATCCAACGACAAATATACAGCAGCAACAATGTAAAAAGCAACATTATATTACAGAACAGTATGAACTTCAAATGCCATTTTAACAAGATTCCATAGGACATCATTCGTATAATACATACATACTATACAAGGTGTTACTAAAACTAACTGCAGCTCATTGCAACATAATATATTATGTACAAAAACAAGAGAACAGAGCACAAAAGTTCCACTTTCACGCACGTTACAACGAATTGTCAGTATGTCAGATCGACGTGAATGTAAAGGCAACTGTCCAGGTCTAGTAGCTCACGAGTTTCAATGATATTCTCATTCGCACAACGAAATGAAACTGTAAGAAAAGTCCGAAGAACAAGGCCAGTGAATGCTCTCTGCGACAATACAACACTCTTGGCAGATTACTGACAGAGTACGCGGAAACCCTGTGCCAGATAGAGGCTGGATGGAAAAGGGATTGCTGTACTCTGTTCGAAGACTGCTAGGATTGTTTGTTTGATTTTACTTAGTTTTGCATGGGTTTTTTAGGAAGAAGGGGTGGGAGGAAAAATGGGATAAGACAACAAGAGAACGATTCAAATAAAATAATAGAGTTGGTTTCGAATGAACACCTTGAACGTGGAGATTGAATGTTGTGAATATAAGCTCAGCTCAGTTCCAAATACCGAATGACAGACTCAATCAAATAATATCGGGGTACCGTTGTTTCAACGCCTTTGATTTGCTGGTAAGAATTTTACCTGTTGAAAGTTTAACGACATGTCTTGGGAAATTAATGGAGTGCAAATGAAAGGAAAGACGTGCTAATGGGGCGTACGTATTTCTGGGACATGATTATGAAAAAAGTGCCGGATAACTTAATGGGCAGGTGATAAATATGATCTGGGGACATGTTGTGTCAAAAGGGGAGGTAGGGAAGGGGTGGGGCTGGATGAGTTTTGAAAAGGGGTTGTGGAAAGGAACAAGGACTGGGTTTGTTTCTTCAGACATACCCTGTAACATTCATATGAATAAATACGTAACAAGAGAACCAATAAATAAATAGGCAAAAACAGAAACGGCGCCACTGACAAGACCACATCAGGGGTGATTTGCCAAGCGGTAACACAACAATGAACAAATTTAACCAATTACACTAACAATGGTGGACCAAGGCTGACAGTCATGACGATACGCTTACTATTGTCAACGAAACACTTCACTGCAATTATGTATGTACACATGATAGTAAAAAGCAGCAGTAGACATGAACCTAGCCATGTCTATGACAAATGGTGGGTTACTAATAGGGTATGGTGATTGATGCTTTCCTATAGCTTGGAATATTTTTTCCACTACAAAATGGGTTCTAAACCAAGAGTTTATCCTAGAAAGCGAAATTAAATATCACTCATCTCCTTGTCTATCGATATTTCTGTCGATCTCTCTATATATCTGTGAATCTATTTGCATTTCTTGGTCCTTCTTGCTCCCAGTTAGCCATTTCTGATTAATATTGTTTAGCAATATAAATCTTCCCCCCCCTCTCCCTTTCTCTCTCTCTCTCTCTCTCTCTCTCTCTCTCTTTCTCTCTTTCTATCTATCTATCTA